AATACAATTTTATTTTGATAAAAGTCCCAAAAAATGGAAAAAATGAACTCCCCTGCTATGAAAAGACAAGACTACACATTAAATCGGCAATTGATTCTTTACAGTAAGCACATATTGTACAGGACATATACTTGCCAATATATACTGTATGTCTCTGTCCATGATGTGATTTATCATGGTTATCTTAAATTATGATTATAAATGCAATTTTTTTTATGTTTAATGGCAACAATCATTCAATACTTTCAGGAATATCACAAACACTGACATTTTGTAACATGGGCTATAAAACCATATAAAATTAGAACTTGATCATAAGGTATTTGTTAGCATTAGTCACAAAATGCACTTCTTCAGGTACGTGATTAAGGAAATCCATATATCTAGCAGAGTATATTCACATGCAACGCAGAATTATCATACAGAAAATCATGTTTTAAAAAGAGCATTGTGGGACACTGGACCACACTCCCTAACCACATTGTTGATATGTCCTCCCTGAGACATCATCGTCACATCTGCCGCTAATCAGAACCCTCCCCACAGACGGCCCAATTAAGCACCAGATGGAGGCAATCTCCGCAAACACTGCCGGTTTATCCCTTCATCCAATCTGAACGCCCCCCTTGTTAACACACCCTCTACTTCCAGACCTATTTAAGCCTTCTGCTTTTCACGGAACAGCGCTTGGTATTGTTAGCTTCTTCGGAACCTCTTGCCTTGCATTATTTACTTCCTCTTGCTGTTGTTGCATACTCGAACCCGGATCTCCCCTTCTGACCCAGACCTTGTCTAGCACTTTGGATTTGTCTGCCTCTCTCCATTTGGATAACCTTTGGTACTGAACCCGGAATTTGCCCTCGACCAAGTCTCTGCCCAACGTTTTGGATTCGTCAGAAATCTCTCCTGCCTCGGATCCCCGCTCCACATAGAGTTCCTGACTCGAACAACAGCGCGGCTTGTTACAATCATTGACCAAGTTGAAATTAAACAAGCAATCTGGGGCCAAAAGATCACAAGTGAGAGGAGGCCATGCTCATGTTCATGCATTCTTATAATGGAAAAAGATCGATGTAATACTGGCAAATAAAGGAATTCCCTCTCTAATCCCATAAACAGTAGGTATGTGACCATGCAACCCTCCCACAGCACAATCTGTTGAGACCACTTCTAAGCAGTTACTGAAAATGAAGCAGTCCACCATCAGAAAGTCCAAAAAGGCCTCTGTTTGACAAAACGACAAAACGACAAAACGACAAAACGACAAAACGACAAAACGACAAAACGACAAAACGACAAAACGACAAAACGACAAAACGACAAAA